CCCCAAAACCCCAAAACCCCAAAACCCCAAAACCCCATTTGTATTTAAAGTTTGAAATTTTAGATGAATGAATTAAAAGTTTGAATTCGCATTTTCATCATCGAACCGTATTACACAGTGAATACCTCAATCAACATATATCTTCCTCTTCATTGCTTCTTTTCCTCTTGTTATCCTGTCTTCTATTTATTGGAAACTGTCTGATTATAGATTCTAGCAATGTTAACCTCAGTGGTGGTGATCTGATCTTTCAAATACTCGATATCTCCATCAGTGGATTCAAGTCTGCTAATGGCATTACCTAAATTTTTCTCGAGAATAATTATAGCCTCATCGAAAGTATACTCAACCATCACATTAGCGCCTAACCATAGTCCTACTTTGCCAGTATCATTAGCAACTTTTGCTTTTGCCCAAATATTATCTGAAATCAAGAAGTTAGTTTGTAATGATCGCTTCTCCTCATCTTCCTCTGCGTGCTTTTCTTGTAATAGCTTAACAGCTTCGAGAGTTTTCTTGATATCTGGAAGTTTGACTTTGAGACTGTCACGACCACGGACGAGTTAGGCCTCCATAAACTTATACTTCTTATATAGCTCGTTCATCTAAGCGATAATATCATCACCTCCGTACTTCTCACACCATGCCTCAGTGTTCTCGATAAAGATGGCTTTAGGAATCTTTCTAAGGTTGTTGGCGTCTTCTGTAAGAGGGATGACTTTTCTTTATTCTTGAGCGGACATATTGATTAATTTAAGTATAAGTATTTAAAAATATTAAGAGCAATATCGATCGATAATATTAAGTTAATAATAATAAATATGGGAGGACACGGTCACGATAACCATCACCACCACGCCAATCCTAACGCCATTTAGGAGACAGATGAATCTCTTCCATTGAGAATTAGAGAAATCGATCTTATCAAGTACAATCCAAACCTGTTTTACGTTTCAATTACTGACTTCCCCAAAGCTTTCGACATTTTGGGAGGCACATCAACCTTAGCTTGCGAGGCACTTGGAGGTCTTTTCGGCTACTGGTACTACAGTCAAAAGCTTAGACACACTCCAGCTACTTTCTACGCTAGAATCATGCTCAGTTTCTCAAGAATCTTCCTTGGTGCTTCAGTTGGCTGCTGGGTCGGATACATGAAATTCGGAGATCGTCAGAGACTTCACAATGCCTGGGTTTCTGAAAGACTAAGAAGAAGATACCCAGATTCACTTGCACTTAACCAACATGACCTCTGGTAAGTTAAGGGTGTCAGACCAAGCCACCAATTCTACAAGTGGACATGAGTATCAGAATGCTCTGAGTAGATATTTCTGCTAACATCAATGGAGAGTTCATCTTTCCTTTATTTACCTTAAGCATTAACCGTCACATCCTCCCTTTTATTTGCATTTGTGTTTAATTGCCTCACTCACCCATATTATAATAAGTATAATTAAATTAAATTATTAAAATGTCGATATCTCGCAAATAAGCACTAAATGAGCTCAAGAATATGTTCCCATCATATGACAAACAGGCACTTAACACTTTGCTTAGAGCTAATGGTAAAAAGCATATTGCTATTAGATATACTCAACTATTATAGATAATATGCTGAATCAGACGATTGAATATATTATTTAGCTGAATGAGGAGGAGCAGAAAAAGCTTGAATCACAGTAAGCAACTTATTTATACATCTGCTAATTTTAATTTTTGAACTGATTATGAGATGATAATTAACTTGATGTCTATAGTGAAGAAGATGAGATCAACAAACTTTATGATGATTAGGAATAGGATGAGTAAGAAGAAGAGGAAGAACTATCAGCCTTTGCCGATTTAGAAGAGCGCAAATCTGCAGAGAAGATCAAGAAATAGTAGTAGTCACAATAGTAGCAATAGAAAGTGGTTTAGCAATTGTCTTCTAATCATATGCCGCCCTCTTAATAGCAGTAGCAAGAAAAGGAATTGTCTGCAGAGGAGGAAGAAAAAAGAAGTAGGGAATTGATAGATCAGCTACTGGCAATGGAAATGCAAGAGTAGTATGAATTAGAGCAGTAGAAATACGAATTAATGATGTAGGAAAATCTTGCTATTGAGAGAGACATTTTAGAAAGAAATAACTCATCATCAAGCAGTGGTGGTAACAAGTCAAGTTAGAATTAGATTGAGAGTTAATAGTAAACTTAACAAAGGAAATCCCAAACTCAATAGAGTTAATCAAAGCCTAATCAAAAGGATGTATAAGCCAGTTCAAAATAACAACTTGAGTAAAGAAAGTTATCACTATAATAGCAGCACTAGTAATAACTGCAGTAATAGTAATAATAAAAATAAAACTAATCAAGCTCTAATTAGCAATAGCAAAAGCCATCGTAAGAACCTAAGAAAGAGTCAAAGTTCACTGCTTTTTTCAAGGATACATTTAAGGAGATCAAGGATTCATTTGGTATGCAGAAAAAGGAAGAGTCTAAGTCTAATAGAGGCTCTATTAAGGAGCAGCGTCCTTCTGAGAATAATTAACAATATCAAAACTCAAGTGTACAATAATAGCAATAAAGTTAAAACTAACAGATAAGCGCAAGTCCTTACCTCAATTAATCGTAGCAGCAACAGCACTAATCTAAGTAAAGTTAATTGAAGAGTTTCGATCCAAACAAGCCATTGCCGAAGAAGCATCCAATGGAATATGATCAAAATGAGACTGAGCTCATTGAGGAAATAGTGTTTCATCATCCCAATTACTCATCACCAGCTTCTTACTATAACTCCATTCTAAAGACTCACGCAAACACTACAACTAGCGTCAAGCCTACTAATCTTAACGCTAAACTTAAAGAAACTGTTGAAGATGTCGACTTTGGCATCCCTGAGCTAGACTACTATAGAAATAACGGATACAATTGATTGAGTTAATAAACACCTTGATTTCGTTTTCTAGATATATAAAGTAAATTTTGTAAGCATCTATTCATATCTGTCAAAACTTTAAAATTGAGGGGTTTTGGGGTTTTGGGGTTTTGGGG